AAGAGCATACAGTGGAGTAAAGACAGCCTCTTTAATAATGGTGTTGGGAAAACTGAACAGCTACATGCAAAAAAATGAAACTAGACCGTCAATTTACACCCTACACAAGAATAAACTCAAAATGGATAAAAGACTTAAATGTGACCTGTGATTCCATAAAAATCCTAGAAGAAAATGTAGGCAACAAAATTTCAGACATCATATGCAGCAAAATTTTCACTGATACATCATCTAAGACAACAGAAACAAAGGAGAAAATGAACACATGGGACTACAACAAACTCAAAAGCTTCTGCACAGCAAAACATACAATCATCAAAATGGAAAGGCTACCCACTGTATGGGAGAGCATAATTGCCAATGATATATCAGATAAGGGGTTAATTTCCAATATATATAGAGTGCTCATACAACTCAACAAAAGGAAGACGAAGAACCCAATTAAAAAATGGGCAGAGAAACTAAATAGACACCTCTCCAAACAGGACATATAAATGGCTAAGAGACATATGAAGAAATGCTCAACATCACTTATCATCAGAGAGATGCAAATTAAAAGAACAATGAGGTATCACCTCACACCTGTCAGAATGGTCACCATCAATAAATCATCAAGTAGCAGGATACAAAATTAATGTCAAGAAATCGATGGAGCCCTGGCCGGTTTGGCTCAGCAGTTAGAGCGTCGGCCTGCGGTACAGAGAGACCCGGGTTCGGTTCCCACTAAGGGCATGTACCTCGGTTGCAGTTTGTCCCCGGCCCTGGTTGGTCGTGCGGGTGGCAGCCACTCGATGTGTCCCTTCACATCAATGTTTCTCTCTCTCTCTCTTCCTTTCTCTCCCTCCTGCTCTATCTGAACAAAAAATGGAAAAATGTCCTCAGGTGAGGATAAAAAAAAAAAAAAAAGAAATCGATGGAAGTCTTATACACCAAGGATGAACTCACAGAAAGAGAAACTAAGAAAACAATCCCATTTACCATTGCGGCTAAAAAATTAAGATACCTAGGAATAAACTTAACCAAAGAAATAAAGGACCTATTCGCAGAAAACTACAGGTCATTGCAAAAAGAAATAGAGGAAGATATAAAAACGTGGAAGCACATACCCTGTTCATGGATTGGGAGAATTAACATCACTAAAATATCCATATTACCCAAAGCAATCTATAGATTCAATGCAATCCCCATCAAAATACCAATGGCATACTTCACAGAATTAGAACAAGTACTTCAAACGTTCATATGGAACCAAAAAAGACCTCGAATAGCCACAGCAATCTTGAAAAGGAAGAACAAAGTTGGAGGGATCACATTACCAGATTTCAGCTTATACTACAAAGCCACCGTAATCAAAACAGCCTGGTACTGGCACAAGAACAGTGGACATGGACAACAAACTGGGGACGGGTCAGGGAGGGAGGGGGAGGGAGGAATTAGTGGGGGAAAAAGGAGAAACATCTGTAACAAAAATTAATAAATAATAAATTTATTTTAAAAAAATCATCAAACAAAAAGTGTTGGGTGAGGGTGTGGAGAAAAGGGGACTCTAGTACCCTGCTGGTAGGAATGAAGACTGGTGCAGCCACTATGGAAAACAATATGGTGTTACCTCAAAAAATGTAAAATTGAACTTCCATTTGACCCAGTGATCCCACTTCTAGGAATATACCCTAAGAAGCCTGAAACACCAATCAGGAAGAATATATGTACCCCCATGTTCATAGCAGCACTATTTACAATAGCTAAGATCTGGAAACAACCGAAGTGTCCATCAATAGATGAATGGATAAAAAAGCTGTGGTACATATACACAATGGAGTACTGTGCAGCTGTAAGAAAGAAAGATCTCTTATCGTTTGAGACGACATGGAGGGACTTGGAAAGTATTATCCTAAGTGAAACAAGCCAAGCAGAGAAAGACAAATATCACATGATCTCACTATTTGTGCAATATAACAAACATAACAGTCTGAGGAAGGGGATAGTCCCAGAGACGTGGAAGTGGGGTATAGACTGACAATCCCCTGAAGAGGGGGGGGGGGGAGAGATAAACCACAGAACTTATATGCATGTATGTATTTACAATGGACATAGACAACAAAGGTGGGCACAGGGTGGGGAGAGAGGGCGAGGGGGGGAATCAGAGGGTGAAAAAGGGGAAACACCTGTAACAAAAATAAATCAATTAATTTTAAGAAAGAAGAAAGAAAAAGAAAGAAAGAAAGAAAGAAAGAAAGAAAGAAAGAAAGAAAGAAAGAAAGAAAGAAAGAAAGAGGAAGGAAGGAAGGAAGGAAGGAAGGAAGGAAGGAAGGAAGGAGGAAGGAAGGCAGGAAGGAAGGAAGGAAGGAATGAAGAAGGAAGAAGGAAGGAGGAAGGAAGGAAGGAAGGAAGGAAGGAAGGAAGAAGAGAGAGAGAGAAAGAAGAAAGAAAGAAAGAAAAGAAAGAAAGAAAAGAAAGAAAGAAAGGAGAGAAAGAAGAAAGAAGAAAGAAAGAAAGAAGAAAGGAAAGAGAGAGAGAGAGAGAAAGAAAGAAAGAAGAAAGAAAGAAAGAAAATGAAAGAGAAAGAGAGAAAGAAGAAAGAAAGAAAGAAAGAAAGAAAGAAAGAAAGAAAGAAAGAAGAAAGGAAGAGAAGAGAGAGAGAGAAAGAAGAAAGAAAGAAAGAAAGAAAGAAAGAAGAAAGGAAAAGAGAGAGAGAAAGAAAGAGAAAGAAAAAGAAAAGAAAGAAGAAAGAAAGAAAGAAAGAAAGAAGGAAAGGAAGAAAGAAAGGAAGAAAGGAAAGAGAGAGAGAGAGAAGAAGAAAGAAGAAGAAAGAAGAAAGAAAGAAAGAAAGAAAGAAAGAAAGAAAGAAAGAAAGAAAGAAAGAAAGAAAGAAAGAAAGAAAGAAAGAAAGAAAGAAAGAAAGAAAGAAAGAAAGAAAGAAAGAAAGAAAGAAAGAAAGAAAGAAAGAAAGAAATCTATTCTCTGGTTCCTTCCTGGAAATACAAACCCCCACCCACTTATATTTTATGGACCTGTCTCCATCACACTCTTTCCCTACCCCTCACACACACATAAGCACATGCACACACTCATGCAAGATAAACAAAGTTGTTACTTAAGACTTTAAATGGGTAGTTGGATAAAAGCGCCTCTTTAAAAATTAAAATATACTAAGAGGATTAAGCCCAGTAGCTTAATTAATACAATTTGTGAACTATTTTAACATGTAAACTAGCAGTCAGAGACTGAGAGTCTCTCTGGGTCAAGAATAAAGGGATAATTTTTAAAGGGTGATGAGGAAGATAGTTGAATAGGGCAAAGAATTCCTAGTTTGCTTTTGTACCTAGACCTTTGGTGAGAAGCCAGTGACCACCAAAAACCTAAAGTCATCTTTCCATTTGAGTGGGCTGCCTGTACCTGGGTTATTGGGACTAACTCAGAAATTGCCAAAGATGATTATCTTCCAATTTAGTCCAATCTTCCCAGGCTAGGCGAGCCCTGCTCAGCCTTCAGGTCAGCTTAGTTTGTCTCTCTATTCAGTGAATTTCCCAACCTTAACAAGTAAAGAATGAAACAAGATAATGGGGAAGAAAGAAGCTCACTTACTCTCTCTCCTGATTTAGTAATGACACAGTATTTGGAAATATTCAAACTATAAAAAAGAGACATTGTATATTTATTTGAAAGGGGGAGGGGTGTCTGAAATGTAGGTTTCACCCAAAGTACTAGAACTGAGTGCATCGGATGCCATAGGAGTTTTACTTCTTCAGAGGTAGTTACACCTGCAGATAAAATCACTGTGGTGAAATCACACAATAGTAAAAGTGAACAGAATCTGGATGACAGTTCTACTCCCTCCTTTTATAGATGAGGACTTCTAGGATTTGTAATTAGTTAATGGCAGAGAAGGTACTAGAACCCAAATGTTCAGGCTCCCAGTCTGGGGATTTCCCATATAGGAAGATACCTAAACCCTTACAATTGTTTTCCACCCTCATAGTTTATAATTTCATTTGGTTCATTGGACTTAAAAATAGCATACAAATAGAGCTCCTATTCCAAAAAAAAAAAAAGTCTTAATGTTTGATACAAACAAATGCAAAGAATCAACTGCCTATTGTTTTCGACAAAGGACTGAGGCAGTACATGTTTATTCTCTAAAAGTATAAAATAAATTGTCATTGCCCAGGCCCCTTACAGGGTTGGATTCCTGTATAAATCAAGGCAGCTCACTAACAGCTTACCTAGCTAACACACACCACCTTTCACCTCAGTTCCCCCAGCCAGCTGCTCCCTCCCCACACTGATAGACTTTTGGAACCACTGTGTAAACAACGCCCCTTGGTGGTCAGCATAAGAAAATGCAAAAGCCATTGCTGACAAATCAGGACTCTAGCAAAGGTCACAGCCATGCCTCCAAGTCACCTTCTAGTTCGAGGGAAATTTGGCCAGGTCAAGTGAGAACGCATGTGGAAAACAGCAAGGGAGAGAAAAATCTGCATTTTTTTTTTCCTGGAGATGTTTCTATATGCCTAATTAAGGTTAGGTCTCAAAGAAAACAGATATATGTTTGTATCCCATTGAGTCTGAAGAGGCAGCTATAAGAGCCACAGACACATGTTATGCTTATACACATAAACATGATTTTTATTGCTAACATCAATGAACACAGATGAAAGAATATTCACATGCCAAACACATAATTCTCACAAGATCACAAAAAGGCTATTGATTTGTGTTCATAAATGATTTGGTAAGTCACTACAGGTCTGAGTGAAATAATATTAAAAAATAGATTTCTGAAGCTTCATTTACATTTGGACCCCCACAATAATTTCATTAGAAAGAGAAAGCAGATGCTCTGAAGTTGACATCTATACATTTTACAGATGTATGAATTCACCAAACATAAAAATTACATCCAATTAAACACATTTTAAGAAGTACACAGAAAAAGCACAAAGAACACTGATTTGGCTCAATGATTTGCCTAATTAAAGGCTTTTTAATTTTTTTACGTTTTAAAAAAAATCCCTTGTAAAGCTGTCAAGTGTACTTGATGTTACAGAAGAAAAGTGTTTTCTAAGCAACTCCAGGGCCCTGTTATTTCTTGCTTGCAGTGTCTTCTCAGTTCTCAGTTCATTCTTGATCACATCAAGCTCTCCACTGATCTTTTGTATTTCTAACTCATAATACAATTTTATTTCTTCTTTTAGGAGTGCATTTCCAACCTCATCTTGATGCTTTAACTTTCTCACAACTTCTTTTAAATCTCTGTTCTCTAAGCTCAACTTGTGGATGACTTCTTTGGCTTGCTGGAGCTCTTCAGTTAAGTTTTTGACATTTGTTGCTTTTTCAGATAGATCATTTCTTAAAGCTTGAAGTTCCCAATCTTTCTTCGAAGTTTCCATCTCTGTTTCTTGAAAATGTAGGGGTTTTGCGGAGACTTCCTTTTTGGCATTCAAAAGTTCTTTTTCGGCATTTTCAAATTCCTCTTCTATTTTTCTGCATTTCATATTGAGTTCTTCCAGTTCTTCATTCAAAATATTCAGGCTAAAATTTGGAGACTTTCCTTCAGTAAATTTCTTCTTGTCTTGTCGCCACAGAATTGGAAATTCCTTTGTGTTCCAGATGCAGTGGTCTTCTGTGCTATTAAAGCTTTCTTCAGTTACAACATCCAAATTAGATGAATCACAGGAGACAGAGTTTGTGTCTGCTTCATTCTTAGAAATGTTCATCTTACTCTCTCTTAAATTTGGTTCTTGTCCTTTTTCATTTGGTTGGGAAATAAATTCTTTCCTTTTACATTTATTCCCTTCTTGAAACTTTCTACTAGACAAATTATACATTCCTCTCTTTCTTGTGGCCTTATCTAAAGTCATTTGTTCAGGACAAGATTCAGGCTGTAAAGCCTCCTTTAGAACATCCTGAGCACTAAAAAAAGGAGTAAACATATTCTCCTTCCAGTGTTTTCTCCTATCATCCATTTCTTCAAGCACCTCTTCCAATTCCTGAAAAACAAAATTTAAATTCAAAGCACATTACTTATACTGGCAGCTAGTATAGTGAAAAGAACAAAGAACGCTGGCTCATGGGTAAAGGAATCTAAATATTTGAAGGCTGGCTCTCCCTATAACTCATGAAATGGCCTGGGCCTCAGTTCCCTCATTTGTAAATTGAAAGGGATAAACTAGCTAAGTTCTATAGATACTTTTAGTTTTAAAATTCTCTAATCCTATGAAATATAACCAATAAATTGACACATTTGGCTATTTATTATGGGTAGAGAAAATAATTCTATGAGAAAGCAACTATACACATGAAAACAGACTGCTTCAAAAAGAGTAGAAGTGATTTAAAACTAACAAGGTAATATTAAAATAAGCTAATACCTGTGCTTCCAATTTCTCTGATTTTTTTTTCTGGTTCTTTTGTGTTGGACTACTGTTTATTCATTCTTTAAAGTAACTAAAACATCAGGGCTTAACACGATGTGAGCTGCTTTTGGTAAAGTATACCATGCAGACTTCCTCATGATGAACTCTGCCAATTTTCCTTCTGTCTTGACCTGTGAATTCCTGCTATTCCAGTCTTGGGCATTGCTTTTAGGCATGACTACCAAGTGTATAGAATTCTATCTGTTTTGAAAGCAATTTGATTATGAGAACTGAATGTCAACAATTGAAAATACTAATGTCACCAAATGTGTTTTTCTTGAGATATTGACTCCAAGTATAGTTCTTAGGTAAAACCTTGGCACATTAAATCACAACTAACTTTCTAAGTACATAAAAATAAGAAGATATTTATTTTGTTTCTTCCCTATTCAAAGGGAATCCTTAACATACAGCTCTCCTAAAAGCATGGAAATATTTGATCAGTTACTACTTTTGAGAGAAGGGAGAAAGAAGGAACCAAGCAACACATTGAAGGGACACTAGCAAACTGATAACTGCAGTTACCACTAAAGGATTGGAAGAAGGAGGAAGGGGTCACTTCATTTTCTACATTAACTCATTGTAATATATTTGTGGTATCACCACTGAGAAAAATCGAATTATGCCTGCATTCCCCTGGCCAGTGTAGTCCAGTGGTTAGAATGTTGACCTGTACACCAATGGGTCTCGGGAAGGGTTACAGGTTTGATATCCTGTCAAGGGCACATACCTGGGTTGCAGGTTCGATCCCACCCTGATGGTTGTGGGTGCAACCAATTGATGTGTCTCTCTCATAACTATTTCTCTTTCTTTCTCTCCCTCCCTTCCTCCCTTCTACTCTCTAAAAATCAATGGGAAAAATATCCTCAGGTTAGGATTAACAAAAAATTATATCTGCATCTATTTTTCCATGAACACAAATGTAATTTTTATTGGTAACAAAAAAATGTCATCTGTTTTATTTATTTACTTATTTATTTATTTACAAATATTGATTTTAGAGAGAGAGAGAGGAAGGGAGATGGAGAGAGAGAAACATCCATATGAGAGTGAGCCATTGATTGGCTTCCATGTAACCTGGGCAGGTTCCCTGACCCAGAATCAAACCAGCAACCTTTCAGTGCATGGAACAATACTCAACCAACTGATCCACACTGGCCAGGGATGTTGTATTTATTTTTAATTAATATTTGCTTTAATATTATTAAATATTATGTTATATTATTTAATATATAATATATAATATATTTATATAATATTTTATATGATGTAAAGATTATAAAATAGTGCTTGTTATTTGTAGAATTTTGGAAAATAGAGAAAAGAAATCTCCCTCATAATCCCATGGTCCTTAAATAACCACTTTTTGATATATTATCTCTCTAGTATTTTTTTTTTAGTAACAATAGTTTAAATTTCAACAGATTTCCTTACTACCAACAGTGAGAGAATAAACTTGGTATCTACATGAACATGTCTGACCCCCTACCTCCCAACAAGAAGGAAGTGACTCACTATCCCCAAGGGTACATCCCCACTGGCAACTACTTGGCTTTGAGGAAAGGAAAAGGTGCAAATATTCAGTAAAGGTATTAAAATGATGGGCTCAAAAGCTATAAGCCAAGCTTTACTACAGTTTAGTCAATCAGACCAGAGTAATAAGCTGAGACTTGAAATTCATGGTATTGATTTGCCATAGGAAGCATCATCTATCTCCTTTCTCTTAAAATAGTCCTTTCTGACTTTAATTATTCTACTAGTCACAATCTAGAAAAAACTATGATCTATCTGTTCTTAAAGAGGAAAGAAATTCATAATCCTGGTTTCTCTCCTCTCTAGTATTATGAATGCAAACATGTGGGGATTATTATAGCAACCATGAAGGAAAGAAACAGAAGAAAAAGAAAATATAGTGATGCTAATTGCCAGTCACATTTTTAATTGTTTTGTAACATTTATAACTTATTTATTTTTATTGAATTTATTGGGGTGACATTTGTAATCCTGTAAAAAATAAAAATGCTTCTAATCAGGTAGCAATGGGAGAGAGATTACTATTCCTCCTATCAAATTCTGGATGAAAGGTATTGGTGAGATTGATCAGGAAGGAGGTGTATAAAGGGGAAAGTAAGCTGAGGCCAATTTATAACTGGAGATAGCAGCAATAACAAATCTGATATAGAAATTTGGGTAGAGATAAAGGTTAAAATAGAAAACTGTTTTTATTAATAATTTGTACCTTGAAAAAGTGTCTTCTATTTCCAACCCTCTCATAAATACATAAATTTCACTACTTTTCTTCCTGAACGTCTGTATACTTTCTTCATATAGACAGTGCTTTTCACAGAACTGGGAAGAATAGATTTATGTTATAACTGAGGATCAGAGAAGTCAAGTGAATTGACCAAGGCCACACATCCTTGGATGGTAAAATTGAAACCCTGTCTCCCAGGCCAGTACTTGTTCTAAAATTCCCCTTTATTATTGCCAGGTTTCATTTACAAATTGAAATAAAACAACCCGCTATTTTCAGAGATTAGGTATCTTTAAAGAGCTACAAAAGAAAAGAGAAAAATAAAGGGGTGGGGGTAAGTAGAATTGCATGTCACATATCAAAGGACAGAAAGAGAAAGGTTTAAAAAGCCTTTGGAATTCCTCTCCCATGGCTTATACAGGGCAGGGTCAGGGGTCTCTGAGCTGCTTCTTTTCTTTCTTTCTTTTCTTCTTTTTTCTCTCTCTCTTTCTCTCCCTCTCTCCCTCTCTCCTTCTCTTTCATTGGCAAGATATCCTTTAAGGGCTTTTTCCCAAATCTACTCACACTATGGCAAAGCCCACACTGGGGGCAAAAGATGACAGTCTCATTTTCTCTTTGCAAATTGCACTGTTTGATTTTTTATGGAGAACAAATATGACATTACTAATCTTCAACAAGGATAAGGAATACGCTTTGAAACAATGACACTCCTCTACATAGAGTGGTAGCCATTTTGTTCTCAATAAACTTGATTAGGTAATTTTTTGCAGCAAAAGGTAGATCAAACCAGAATCCCTTATTGAAAGTACAAGCATGCCTTTTTAGTGGATCAATTGTGAATATTTATTATTATTACCCAACACTATGATGGATTCTGAAGGACTGAAGGGCAGGGGGGGTCCAAGAAAAACAAAAGATTTAAAGAAATAAGCTAAAACAAGGAAAATTATATAAAGTCATATGACAAAAATAACATTAGGGGTCCTCTAAGACAGTGATCACTCAGAAGTCCTTGGGACTGAACTGTCAATGCTTAGGTGTCCATAATATGGCTACATATATTCATTTGTGTCTGACATGAATTAATAATGGGCTCCTGATGGTTCCAGTTAGTGTCTACGTGAAAACATTACCATTCATCCTCTGGTAACTTTCTTCATTTTACAGTGGCAAAGTATTGTGTCATTTTGGTGGAGTAAGAGAATCTCTTGACTCATAAGAGTGGTTTATATTCACCTGAAGAATTTGGGAAGCACTAATAAAATAAATTGAAAATGGATTTATAATATAATGTGATATATCAAAATATACTTGTTGAGAGCTAAGCAAAGAATGATCATTTATTATGGATCTTTGGGTAAACCTTTTGTAGAAATCTCAGGTGAATGCATATCTATCCTCAAATAGTTCCAGAAAACAATGCACTAATGTTTATTGTGAAAGGAGAAACCCCCCAAACCATCTCAGTTTCATTTTCAAGATATGGGTCTCTGAGGAATATACTCATATTAAGGTGGATAAGTGATCAAATATGTAAAATCTATTTGTTTTCTAAAATATTCATATTTTCAATCACATGCTTTAGAGAGATTTGATGACATAAAAATCAAAGATTTTTTTCTGTTGCCTTATCTCATTTACATTAGAATTTGATTTCAAAATTTCAGGACCACCTCTTTTGCATAAATCTAGATGTGTATGCGGAAAGAGACTATTCTTCCAGGCAGGGATATTCAGGAACTGGGAAATAGCTCTGGTAAATCCCCAGAAGCGTTTTCCCCCTCACAAGAGTGCTTCATTACAAACTTGGTAAATTGGAAATGGTGGTTGGGAAAGGTCATCTCTAACCTGTGATGGGCAAACTTCTGTCACTACCCTCAGCCTCTCAGGCCCACTCAACTAGAGCCATGACTTTTAATCACAACCTATGGGGCAGTAAGGGGAAGACAAAGGGCCCTTCTTAGCCCAAGGAACTTTTCCCCATTATTCTTAGAAGTTTTCAGTTCTCTCAACCCTTAGAAAAACTGCTTGGTGAAAAGGGGGGTGGGTCTGCTACAAAGAAAATCACTGACCTTGCTTTTTTGCTCAATTGTCCAACCTGTTTCACTTAAAAGCAGTAGTTCTCAACCTTTTATTCTATTTCCACTGTTCCCAGGCAGAAAACACTGCCATCATTATCCTCTCTCCTTATTCAAGAAGATTCTGACCTGCCCCATCTAGGGGAGCTTTGCCATTTCACATACTATGGAGAATTAGTAGCTTGCAGAAAACTATTAAATACCAAAATTAGAACCCAAAGGAACTGTCTGAAGTCAAGGTGAGCAAACATGTTTTACCATGCAGAATTGTGGGGAAGAAGGAGAAGAAAGTTCTTGAGAAAGGAAATGAGTGTGGACTATGGTGAAAAAAAATAAGACTAAAGAATCAGCTATCTTGTCTCCCACACTTTAGAACTATGTGAAAACTTACCTCAGTTTTTTTTTTTTTTTTTCAAGTGTAAAATAGGGACAATATACTTATTTTGTGGATGGTTAAAAGAAATTAATGAAAATTAAAATGGAAGTAATTTTAAAGTATATTATTAAAAATGGGTTTTGTTGTTTTTTTAAGGTTTTCCTTACTCTGCTTTGGAACATGAACCAGCCAGTTAAATAACTCAACCCTTCTCCAAAGATGTGTGCTTCAAAGTTGCCAGCCTGAAGTCATCAGCCCTCAGAAAAAGTCAGTTTGAAAAAAAAGAATTGTAGGTAGTATTATGATATGTAGAGGGGACTCTAAACTCAAATATTACATTAATTTAACCTGCATCCTTGGGGAAGAATTAGCCTTAAATCCTGTAAGTGGTTTATGACCCCAAATTTCTGAAGCTACATTGATTATTTCTAAATAGAAAAGTGGTAGTCTTTTTACAACAAAAGATATTTCCATTTTTATCACCAGTTGTTTTACCAAGAACGTTCCAAATGCTCCAGTGTCTTTTAGAGTCACCAATACATTCTTAGAAATATTACAAGTGAAGTATTGATTTGAAGATCCGCAAGGATGATGCTGCACTTTGAGTTTTTCCTGTGTTTCTACAGCATTCCATACAAACTTTTATTTTACCAATACACTGTGATCTCTTGGCATCTTATTTATCTTTTATCCCTAGCTGACACATAGTAGCCCTCAATAAATATTTGTCGAATAATTGATACTTAATATTCTTCCTGAAAATTTTATAATGCTTTGATTCTAATTTAGTTTTTGTAAATACTCATGATTTGTGCTGTGGCTTATGAAGTGTTTTGGCTGACAATTTAGGGAAAGGACTTTTATTTTCCCCTCAAAGTTTATTGTCTCAGCTAAATCTTCAGGACACTTTATTGTATTTTTATGACGCCTTCTTGATAGTGTACTGACAATGCAGAATAATGATCTAGTTACAAGGTTGAGGCTCTGTGCTTCTAAACACTCATAACAAGATAACAGCCAGCACAACTAAACTTACACTTCCAGATGCCCAAGGTCTTCCATTCGATGTCATTCTTCTCCTTCTCCAGTTTGAACTGAAAATAAAATCCCACTAGGATAATTAGAAAATATAATTAACCGGAATGCCCCTATCCCTGTTTATATCCATTTGGCCCATCTGAAATGTGATGCCAGACACTTTGAAGAAAGTTTTCTTTTTAACTTGTCAACCTACTTTCCCAACTATGATGACACTAAGTCTTCCTTTCCCACGTAATACAAATATCAAATGGGACAAGAATGATGGTGGCATCATAGTCAAACACAGTATTATCTCCTCTCCTTCAGCATCTATTGAACAATGAGCCACAGCTGGTGGCTGCAGTAGCAGCAGCATGCTTGTTCTTAATGGGCCACATTAGCAAAGGGCTGGAGCCTAGGCCTTGCTTCTCTCCCTGGGGGCACAATTAATTTGAAAAAAAAATTTTAAAGGGCAGTGATCCCAATGTGTGCCTTAATCTTTCCCGGTCCTAATATATGAGCCAAATATCCACCTCACGGGACAAATTGTCTTTTTTATTCCTTGGCAGATATTGAGAGCTAAGCGAAGTGCCATTTAAAACTGGGCTTTGTGGACAATTCTTTGTTATTAGTGTGAAACGATTCCTTCTCGAAGACATGGAGTCCCTGTATTCTGAAGGCTGAGTACTTTATTAGCATGGTAGTCACATGCTTGTTATAAAACTGTATCTATGCGTGCATAGTTTGGGGGAATTTTTCTTTAAATGGTTAACTGAAACTCCCGCCATCACTGCTATCAGTGAAGAGAAGGTGGGTACAGCAGGGCGCTGCCCACCCCCACCGCAGGTGACATGGTCCCTACCATCTGACTGACACGCGGGCTGGGAGGAGCAGCGGGACCGGCCGACCCCACACCTCCTTCCACACCCGGACTCCCACGCCCTGTTCCCTTCCCTCCCAAATGCTCCCCACCTCCTGACCTGAGGCTTTCTACAGCGAAGCATGATGGAGGAGAAGAAGAGGAACGAGCAGGAGAAACCCGGAGGAGCCCTCCTTTCCTGCGCGCAGACTTACCTGTTGGCGTGGGTGGGGCCCGGTGGTCCCGGTCCCCACTTCTCCGAAGCTGGCCACCACAGGCCAACGGCAGCCCTTAGTTCAGCGCTGGCCACCGCGCCAGGGACCGGCCAGAGCCTGGCAGAGCTTCCGCAGTGCAGCGCCAGCACGGGCCACGCCGTTGCCTAGCAACCGTCCGGAGGGCTTTAAAAGGACCCGGGAGCTTTCTGCTGGTGCTCTCAGCCTGGCAGAGCACTGCGCATGCTGGGTGTGGTGGTTCTCCTGGTGGCTACTGCCTGCAGGGAATAGGAGCTCAAATCGCAAGAGAGCCAGCCAGTCAGGGTGGGAAGGGGCAAGAAACCCTGAGGCTGCCCCACCCACAGTGGGCTTATTACGGAGGCTCCGGGTGACTCACAAAGCCGCCTGGATTGCTGGGAAAATAGGGAGGGGAGCAAGGTTAATCCCTAGGCCTGCAGATCAGTAACCTGATGTTGAGGAGAGTTAGCTCTGGAAGGCCGCCTGGATTTGGTTCGGGGTCCCTTACAATGTGGCAGTTTCACCCCGCCCCACAGCCCCACCTCTGCCCCTCAGCCAATGTTCTGGCCAGAATTTCTACCTCTGATCAAGTCTTCAAGGACCTGTGTCAAGACAGCATTGTCCCCAGGTTCTGTCCCTTTGGGAGACTGAGTTTATATCTCAGGTAGCACATGGTTTCCTCATTTATGACTCAGGAATTTCTCTAAACCGATCATTGCACCGGTTTGAATTTAAAACCTACTGGGAGCACTCTGGCAGGTTTGGCTCAGCGGTTGGAACGTGGACCAGGTGGACCAAAGAGTCAGTAGGCTCAATTCTGGTCAAGGGCACTACCTCAGTGGCGGTTGGGTCTCCGCCCTGGTCCGGTCTTTCGGCAGGCAACCAATGATGTGTCTCTCTCACATAATCTCTCTCTCTCTCTCTCTCTCTCTCTCCATCCTTCCCCCCTCGCTCCCACTTGATCTGAAAATAAATGGGAAAATATCCTCAGATGAGGATTAAAAAAAAAAAAAAAACTACTGGGAGCAACTAGTTCTACACTACTGGCAGTGTAAAATAATTTCCTTTTGTCAGTTCCACAACTACTCTCCTTGAGCTTCAAAAGTTGCTCACAACTTCCAGGATTTGGTTGGGGAACAAGCCCATGTTCTTCATTATGTTATAGATTTCAGTCATGGTATTTTGTTGCATAACTAATTATCTTCTCAGACTTTGATTAGCCTGGTTGCCAGATGCTGATTCTTCCATCACCCAATTGATCACACACATTGGTTATACTATGATTTGGATTCAGCCAGGGCCTGACCAAAAGATGGACCTGGCAAACAGAGTGAAACTAGGGTGTCCAAAATAGTAATAATAGTGACTTTTAGGAAACCTAGTATTTTCTAGAAAGCATGAGGGTGGAAGGAAACATTAGCTCTAGAATCTCAAGTGAAAGAAGGTAGAAGCACATTGAAAAAATGACAGTCAAATTTATCAAAACTAAACAAGGTGGTGACTTAGAAACAACAGTAGGTTACATGTCAAAACTTCTTGGTAACAGATGTTTGGGAGCTTGCAAAGTTTCATGCAAGTACCCTGAGGCCTAGTTCTCATTCTCCTTTATCCTCCTTAGAGAACTAATGTCAATAAGGGTTGGAGGCCGAAATAGGCCTAAGGTCAATGTATGTTTTCTTATGAATTCTGTCAGAATTAGTTTGTGGGATTCTGACAAAACTTTCCTTGATATTGTCTGAAAACACACATTTATAGCTATAATTTACATGTTGATAAATATTTATTTTATTGATTTTTAGAGAGAAAGAAAGGAAGAGGGAGAGAAAGATAGAAGTATCAATGAGAGAAAACATCGATTGGCCACCTCCTGCATGTCCCCCACTAAGGACTGGGCCCACAACCTGGGCATGTGCCCTGACCAGGATTCAAACCAGTGACCTCTTGGTGCATGGGTTGATGCTCAACCACTGTCACACTGGTTGGGTCATGTTGATAAATATTTAAATTATTCATGGAGATAATAATAATAGCTAACCTTTCTTACATCGTGCATCCTATAGTCAGCAGATTCTGTTGGCTGTGCCTTTATAATGTATCTGAAATCTCTGAAATCTGATGGCTTCTCCCCATTTCTACCATTACCACCCTGATTCTGGCCCCCATTATCTGTTAACTGGAATGGACTATTGCAATCACCTCCTAACTGCTTCTACCCTTGCCCACTATTTTAGTTGCCTAGGGTTGCCACATCAAAATATCATAAACGAGTGGCTTAAAACAATATATACTTATTCTTCCACAGTTCTGGAGCCTAGAAATATCAAATCAGAGTTAGCAGAGTTGATTCTTTCTAAAGACTCTGAGGGACAATCTGTCTCTCCTAACCTCTGGTGGTTGCCAGAAATCTGTGGCCTTCCTTGGCTTATAGATTTATCATTCCAATCTCTGTCTGTCTTAACAGGGTGTTCTTATGTGTGTATGTCTTCACATAGCTGTTTTCCCTCTGTGTGTGTCTGTGTGCCCCAATTCCCCTCCTCTTATAAATATATCAGTTATTGGATTAGGGCCATCTTTACTCCAATATGATCTCATCTTAATTTGATTATATCTGCAAAGACCTTATTTCTTCTAATAAGGGCATATTCATAGGTATGGGGGTAAGAATTTGAGCATAACTTTTGCAGGGACACAATTCAATCCACAACACTCACCTACTATTTATTCTCAACACAGATTCAGAGAGAACATTATAAAATATGAAGTCAGATCATGTTATCACTCTTCTCAAAAGCCAACAAAGTCTCTCAATTTGACTTGCAGTAAAACATAAAATCCTTATAATACCCTACAAAGCCCCCCTCCCACACATAATACCTCTCTGACCTCCTCTCCTGCCACTTTGTGCCTTGATGATCCCATTCCAGCAGCACTGGCTCCTTGTTCCGAGAACACTCAATCATCCTCCCACCATTCAGGACTTTGCTCTATCTGATCTCTCTGCCTTGAATGCTCTTCAAAAGATACATGATATCCACATGTTTTTCTTCCTTATCTTCTTTCAGTCTTTGTTCAAATCTTATCTCTCTGTGAGGCCTAACCTGACCCTACTATTTAATTCTATCAAGTTTCAACCTCTGCAGCATTTCTACTACTCCTAACTCTACTTTTTAAAAATATAGTACTTATTTTATTTTTTATTGATTTTAGAGAGGAAGGGAAAGGAAGAGAGAGAGAGAGAAACATCAATGTAAAAGAGAAATATTGATATGCTGCCTCCTGCACACACTCAGACCAGGACTGAACCTGAAACCTGGGCATGCACCCCGACTGGGAATTACATGGGATGACACTCAGCCAATTGAGCCACACTGGCCAAAGCATACTTATCTTCTAACACACTATATTATATTGTTTTTATTTTGTTTTCTCTACACCCACCTCTTCCAGGTTGTTCCAAATGGGCATGGATCATTGATTTTTTTCACTGATACATCCTGAGCACCAAGCACAGTGCTTGCCACATGGTAGGCACTGAAAGAATATTTGTGGAAGGAAGGAAGGGAGACCATACCATGTTCCAAGAGTGTTTCCTTTAACCTTCACAATATCTTATGGTGTAGATACTATTATTACCTATGTTTTACAGATGAGAAAACAGGCACACAAGGGATAACTTGCCTAAGGTCACATGGTTAATAAGTGATAGAGCTGGGATTTGAACTCAGGCAGGTTTGGCTTTCAACAACTATGTAGCACTGGCATATAAAGGCACCTGACCCTAGTGCCTGGGAGATCCTATAGTAAGCTTTCCCTTGTTCTGACATTCATGTTCTTCCAATGGCAAGCAATGAACAGTAATCATTTTTAAACTACTGACATATCATATTTTGCTAAGATATTTGTTTGTACATTGCCTTGCACAAACTCTGGAGACCTGCTATCTGGGTTCAAATAC